AGAGATGGGGGATGTAAAACTAAAAAGAAATAGAAACACGAAGAAGGGACCACAAACAAGCTCTTTCACCTCCACATTAAGTTCTTTGTTTTACAAGCTCTTAGGCTTGGTGGTCTCTCTTACCATTTACCAACAGAGCTCCAGGTGTTACCTGAGATACATCAGTACTCTCCACCACAGGAAATAGCTGCTTCTGGCAGGGTAATAATCTGCTAGCTTCTATGCCAGTTTTTAAGTCCACTAGTCTAGGCCAGATCTTGCTCCTGCAACAAAGGAATCGGGACAGGACTATGAGGTTGTAGTCCTGCCGCAATGCAAGCTTCCCCATCCTACTCTTCCTCAGGAAGCTGGTTGTGGTTCAGACCTTGGAGCTCAGCCAGATCCTGTCCTCTCCCAAATCAACTGCCTAACTTTACTTCTTCCTGGCTCTTAATATATGTGCATGATATATATCTCTCATTGACCACTCCCACCTTCCCCAATTATTCTATGCTGCTGCTGCTGCTGAAAAGAATTCCTCAGATGGTTGATGGATTTACTTGCACTGCCCTCAGGACCAGCAATAAAGATCCATTCTCATGCTTCATGGTTTTGCTAGTTGCCTCTAGGAGTCGGGAAGGATTTTTTTTCTTTTCAAATTGTTGCCTCCCTCTGAAGCACCAGAGATTAACTGTAGCTGGAGGGAAGAGAGTAGATCAGGGGTAGACCAAATACGTCTCACAGGCTGAACCTGGCTCACCAAGGGATTTTATCTGGCCCCTGGTAAGACCCTTGGTCCTGCCTGGCCCAGGAGTGCATGGGGCAGCCTGGGCCATGGTACATGCGACACATCCTGCTGCCCCTGGGTATGCAGTGGGGCTGGGGCAGCACAGTGGCAGACTCACTTCCCAGAACCTCCTTCTGGCGGCTGCCGGACCTGGCCCCGCTGCCTTGGTACCCTGGCCTGTCTGCCTGCCCTGCCCCCAGTGCTGGGGATGGGACCCCTGTGGGCAGGATGCATTGCTGGGCAGATGGGATGGGGCTGTGTGCAGGTGGGGAGTGGCATCTGGGAGCGGGGCAGGCGGGTGGGGCTGTATCATGGGGAGGTAATAGTGTGCGGCGAGGGCCTGAGGTAGAGCTGCAATCCACTGCCTGCATGTTCCTGTGATGGGTGCTAGTTCTGCGGGCAGGAGCATGTGGGGAGCAGATCTCGGATCTGCCCTGGCCCCATACTGTCACCACCCCAACATTTTGGACCCAGCCTTGCCCGCCCATTCCACTCCCAGACACTGCTCTCCCTGCCTGCCCGTGGCACCATCCCGTTTACCTGGTCACATCCCCTGCCTGCAAGGGTCCTAGCCAGCTTCCATGGAGACCCCAGGATCACTGGGCAGTGACAGAGCAGGCAGAGCCATGAACACTCCCTACACACCCATGCCCACAGAACCAGTGCCTGTTGCAGGCACATGTGGGGAGCAGATTGTGGCTCTGCCACAGGCCCTGATCCTGCTCTATCACTGCCTTGTGATCCCAGCCCCACCCCTGCTCCCCTGTCCTACTCCCTGCCTGCTTGCAGCTCCATCCCAGATGCCCAGCCCAGCACAAAGCCACTTAGGGAGTTCTGGTGAGCTGTGGTGGGGAGGGAAGGTGCTAATCTAGCCTGCAACAGCTCACCAAAACTCCCTAAGTGGCCCTTTGACACAAAAACCTGAAGTACAGGACAGGCTACTGGCCACCTCTGGAGTACAGGATAGGCCACTGCTTTGACATTGGTCAGAAAATCACTTTCTGAAGTACCTAGCTGGGAAGGTCACTGAGGATGGGGAAGGAATTTCCCCCAAGTCAGATGGAGGGAGTTCTCGTCCCTCTGCAGCACAGAACATCTTTAGATCTCTCTCACCTCATCAGCTTCCTGCCACTGCGGGGTTTTAGGCACCAGAAGCAATGTGATCTTTTTTGTTTTCTGCTTGTTCAGTTTAGGGTTTTTTAGACATAGTTGAACTAACTGAAGCTATTGGCACTGATACAGGGGTCTGTTTGAAACTTAATGGCCTGTGATAGGCAGGAGGTCAGATTTGGGGGTCTGTTACTTCCTTCTGGCCTTCAACTCTATGAAACAGGAGCTGGGGGTGCTGGTGATGCTTCTGATGTGGACAGTGGACTGAAGGTCCCTGTTCCCCTTTCATTAGCTACTTCCTGAGACAGATAAGTATGGCATCACACTGAGATGCTAGACTACCTTGGCTGATGTACCAGACCCCTGGGGCCAAAGCTCCCGTACGGGCACCAGAACAGACTCGCATCCTTCATCTGTCAGCTGCAGAGGAGGGATCAAGAACATGTTTTCCTGTGGTTCACCTGGGCTGTTCACATTCACCATTCACACATGGATGTCAGCCACACAGATGCCTCAGGAGTAGAAATGGGCAGGGTGACATCAGGCCCATTTCATAGAGACACTGGCCAGTCAGATTAAGTGATTTATGGGTAGGTCACATAAACTGCCTGTGGCTCCCCTGGAGCTAACCCCTATTCCTCCAGAATCCCAGCAGGGGCCTTCTCTCACTTCCCTAGGATAAAACCAGGCCCTATGCTATGTCAGTATCTGTGCCCATAAAAGCTGTGATCAGATCACTTTGGCCACACACATGCACACAAACATATGGCCTGTAGCCTCTTTGCCTGCTCATAACTGTCCTGGAAGAGAAAGTTACAGCCTGGGAATGGGGAAATGACACTGTCAGCAAAGGAACATTTATACTAACTTAAATACTTTTTCAGATAGGATCCCTGTTAACCCATCATTGCCCACAAAAATGTTAAGGCACCACTCTGCGACATCAAGAGCATCATCATAGCTGATTTGGGGGATTGTACCCAAGGAAAAGAAAGGTACCATTCTTAGGCATATATAAAAGGCCTGGCTACTGGAGTACCCGAGAACTTCACTATCTTTAATATATGGATCCTCACAGCAGCATTACAAAGTCGGGAGGTGCCGTTATTCTCATTCTACATGTGGCAAACAGAGGCAGGTTAAGGCTAATTGACTTGCCCAAGGTCATACCAAGTCTGTAGCAGACTAGGGGATTGAATTCAGGTCTCCTAAATCCTAAGCAAGTTTCAGGAGAAGCAAGCTGTTCCTCATCATCAGCCCTTTGTACTGTGGATCTGACAAGAGAGACAGTGCTGAGCCATACAGTGTTAAAGGAACCCCAGGGGAGTGACATTTGCACGTGAGCCCATGCAGACTAACAATGAGGAAATCCTTTATTACTGCTGCCAGGCACTCAAGTCACATGCTGAATCAGAGGAGAACAGAGAGAAATTTTGGGACTGAGCCAGCTTGACCACATGCAGTGCAGAATCCTTTCCAGAGCTGCCCATTGGCTTAGGAGCACAGTGCAGAAAAAGGGAGACAAGTCACCAGACTTAGACCAAGATTGTCTGAAGAGTTCTGGAAGCTCAGTGTAAGGCCTTGTCTGAGATTAGACAACAAGTTCTTTGACGGTTTTGCATTATAACCAAGTCTGGTGCAGGGGCTGGTTAGGAGGTGTCCAGCAGAGCTCTGAGGGCTCCTATACACATGCAGGAGGCTGCCCCAACACGCTGTGATTTATCAAGTCTGCTGGAGCATGTTAATGACCACACTCCAGCAGACTCCAGTGTCACTTGGATCAGTGTCCCCACACTGAAAAATGGCGGTGGGATGCTTTAAACTAAAGCTGGTTCGATGAGCTTTAGTTTAAAGCACTCCACTGCCACTTTTTAGCATGGGGACACTGAAGCATGCGATGCTCCAGGCGCTTTTAATTAGCACAGCTCTCAGAGCTGCACTAATTAAAGTGTCCCCTGCCTCCCAGAGCAAAACTCCTGAGAGGTACCACATACTGTCACACCAAAATACTCAACATTTCCAGCTCCAAATCTGAGGAGGTTCCTATAGACATTCATAGAGTCTAAGAACCAACAGAGAATGCTTTATATGACTGCCAAAAATACTGTTGTAATGACACCAGAACTGGTCAGGAATTTATTATCAAAAAGGTGTTTCTAGCTGACCTCCAGCTACAAGAATCTTGGAGCTCTCTTCTGACTGGATGTTGGAGTCTGGTTTTCACAGTGTCTAGCAGGTTCATTACACTACCAAGTGTAGCACAACAGGCCCAGGACACCTGGAACACCACTGCAATACCCTTAGGAGGGCTTGATGAGCTAAGGTGCTGAGCACTTCTCAGTCCAGCTGCAGTTCAGACTCAACAGCACTTCTGAATAAAACAAAAAAGGCTAAGCTCTTCAAATTAGTTTGGCACTCAAAATTAGGTACTGATTTTGTTGTGTGTAGTTGACACTTAAAAGAGCATGATCTGCCCTTCCTGTCTCCCAGACATGAACTCTGCAACTTGCTACTGAACTGAAATGTTTGTTTAGGTTTGTGAGTCATTAAAAGGCAGGTTCTTCCTCTTGTGATTTTTTTTTCCCGTGGCTCCCCAGATTCAGTTCCACCTCTTCACAGACTATCAGAAATTTGACTGGAGCCAGGGCTAAAATGTAGTGCCAAGGATATACACAACTCCACTGTAAGAGTCAGTGGTCCCAAGTGGCAATGGCATGGCCCTTTGAAGGCCTTATTGGAACTGCAGGGTCAAGGGAGAGCACCTGTCACAGCTGAGAGGCACTGGCAGAGCTGAGAGAGCCCAGGGCTGGGATAGTAGGAGGCTGCATGCCAGGAGTTATGGGCCCTTGAGAGGTATGAATGGCCACTTCAAAATGGAGTAGCAGATGCAACTGTAGCTCCATACAAGGGTGCACTGAAGAAAGTTCATGCTGTCAAGGGTCTGCCTGCAGTCAGCATGTTCAGACCTCTCCTCCTCCAGAGCACAAAACTCACTTGCCAAAGAGCAAGCTCAGGCTCAGGGCAGCACCTTCATGTTCCCTCTCTTCCCGCATGCTGTCTGATTCATATCAATTCCCACTTCCTCTTTTCCTCTCCTTAATTTCATCACGAAAAGGAAGAACTCTCACACAGTTGTGCTAGGAGCAGCTGAATCACCAGATCATTTTTCTGGGTGTCTCCTCTCTGCTCAGACATCTGCATCTCTTTGGTATTGCTTCAATCATGAGCACGATTCTGGGGATTCTTCTCTCCTGGACGCTGGTGGCTTGCATAAAAGGGGCAGAGAAGCCTCCTAGACCAGCACCTGCAGCAGGGTTTCAGGACTGTAAGAAAGCCCTGAAGCTTCCTGGTCTGGAGGTCCTGCCTGGTGGGGGCTGGGACAACCTGAGGAACTTGGACATGGGGAGAGTGATCAACCTGGGCTACTCACTGTGCAGGACCACGGAGGACGGGTATTATATCATCCCAGATGAGGTCTTTACTATCCCTCGCAAGCAGAGCAACATGGAGATGAACTCGGAGATCATGGAGTCCTGGATGGATTACCAGAGCACCACCTCTGCCTCCATCAATGTGGAGCTCTCCCTTTTTTCCTCTGTCAATGGCAAGTTCTCCAGTGACTTCCGCAGGATGAAAACCCACCAGGTAAAGGACCGGGCTGTAACAACCAGGGTTCAAGTCAGGAACCTATTCTATACTGCCAAGTTTGACCCTGGGGCAGCCCTGGATGAAGGGTTCCAGAAGCAGCTGTTCACCATTGCCAGCCACTTGGAAAACAACCAGACCCGGATGGCTGACTTCCTGGCAGAGATCTTGGTACTGAACTATGGCACTCATGTCATAACCTCAGTGGATGCTGGAGCCAGCCTGGTGCAGGAAGATCAAATCAAGACCACCTTCTTCAAGGATAGTTTGTTTATGTGGAGTGCCATTACTGCCTCAGCACGGGCCTCCTTCCATGATGTTGTTGACTTCAAGGAGAGTGGATCGGTGGCAATGCAAGACAGCTTTACCAAGCAGTACCTGGCCAACCGCACCAATTCCAGGATAGAGAGTATTGGAGGCATCCCTTTTTACCCTGGTATCACGCTCAAGACCTGGCAAGCGGGCACAACCAACCAGCTGGTGGCTATTGACCGCTCTGGCCTGCCTTTACATTTCTTCATCAACCCATACTGTTTGCCAGGTCTACCCAACCCTACGGTGAAGAGGTTGGCCAGGAAGGTGGAATCAGCCATCCGCCGCTACTACACCTTCAACACCTACCCTGGTTGTACTGACCCATCCTCATCCAACTTCAACTTCCATGCCAATGCAGACGATGGCTCCTGTGAGGGAGCTGAGACCAACTTCACATTTGGTGGTGCCTACCAGGAGTGTGCCCAGCTTGAGGGCCCTGACACTGCGGTGCTGTGCCAGGGGCTGGAGCAGAAGAACCCACTCACTGGGGCATTCTCCTGTCCCGTGGGCTACACCCCAGTCCGACTGAGCACCCAGGAGCGGGAAGAAGGCTACAGCCATTTGGAGTGCCACAACAACTGTGTGCTGGGCTTTTGCTGCAAAAGAGTTTGTAGGGACGTGTTCTGGCTCTCCAAGGTGCAGTTCAGTGCCTACTGGTGTGCAAGAAGACAGGCCCTTGGGAACTCCGGATACCTCTTTGGTGGCCTGTTCAGCAGCAGGAGTGTCAACCCCCTAACTAATGCCCAGTCCTGTCCTTCTGGTTACATCCAGCTGAGACTCTTTGACCAGCTCAAACTGTGTGTCAGTACGGATTATGAAGCAGGGCTCCGGTACTCAGTGCCTTTTGGAGGGCTCTTCAGCTGTGAGATGGGGAACCCTCTGGCAGGAAACCACAAGGGAACGCTAGATGACCCCTATGTGAAGCGATGCCCAGCTGGATTCAGCCAGCACTTGGCACTGATCAGCGATGGGTGCCAGGTGGAGTTCTGCGTTCAGGCCAACCTCTTCACTGGTGGATCTCTGCCTCCTGCACGGCTACCTCCGTACACTCGCCCACCAGCCATGAGCCTGGTGGCCACTGACACTGTCCTGGTGACCAGTGGTGATGGGCAGCACTCCTGGATTAAGGATGCCCAGACCCAGCTCTGGCGACTGGGGGACCCATCTGAGGTACAGCACAACATAAAGCTGAGTGGGGGCTCAGGCAGGGGACTGGCAGGAGGGAAGGTGGCTGGCCTTACAGTAGCTATTACCACTGGCCTGGCTGGCCTCATTGCCCTGGCTGTCTATGGCACTAGGAGGTATAAGAAAAGAGGGTACTGCACGGTGGCGGAAGGGCAGGGCCTGATCCCAGAGAGAGCCGAGTATAGTGTGGAGGCTGAGCTGGGCAAGAGCTACCAACAGGATCCTGAGAGTGAAACAGCTTGAGTTTCCCCTCACCCTTTGCCCCTTGTTTTTAGCTGCTTCTAAAAGCTTTCTGCCACCCCAGGCAGAGCTGCAAGCTTCTTCCACCCATCCCCTTCTTCCCCAGCCACCCCTCCTGGCAGATCCCCCTCTGTGGTAGAGCTAAGCCCCTCCACCCTACTGCACAGAGCCACAGAATCACTGGCCTTCCCTTGCCCTCCACTAGGCAGAACCACAAGACACCCCCCCCCCCCCCCACCCCCCCCCCCCCCCCCCCCCCCGC